GATTGATTGAATGAGGTTTGCACGGTTTGAACAAATTAGGTGGTTTGCATTTGATCGCTCCTCTATGAACCATTATGTCAAACATGAACAAAAAATTGACATATATATGAACTTGGACTGCATAACATTTATGAACACAATATGAACATAATAAGCATAGTTGCTACACGAAAGAAAATAAATAAATAAAACAGGTATGAACACAATATGAACAACTTGTGAACAATAGTTCATTCATTATGAACACATTTAGGAGCAAGCCAATGTTGAGATATGCAGCTAGTGTACATATGAACACAATATGAGCAATTATGAACACATTCAGGAGCGAGCCAATGTTAAAAGATGCAACTAGTGTACATACGAACACAATCTGAACAGCTTGTGAACAATAGTTCCTTCATTATGAATAATGGGTTTATCCATAATAGTTTGAACGATACCGAAAACTTTACTACCGGGTCTCTTCTACCAATCACAAATTCAAAAATATTATAGATAGAAAAATCAATATTATTAAAAAAAACAAGATCAATAATAAATTAACAAAAATTATGAATTCAATATTAGATGTCTTGATTCATATCCATACTAGAATATATATGAACACACCTAAACGTATATGAACACTAGTTACAGTCTATGGCAAGTCAAGCATCACAAGCAGCTAATGGAGCCGAATGATTATCAGAATTGGAATGCATAACAAATTAAGTTGACGATGAACTCATTCCATTTGAACATATGAATTGGGCTCGTAGTGATAATTAAAGAAAAACTATCAACACAATATGAACTATAAAAAAACACAAAAACGTCATAATCAACATAATTTCGATTAAAAATTCATATGAACACTAATCAACACACATAGTTTCATTAGATGCATTGATTCATGTCCCTACTAGAACATATATGAACACAACTGAATGTATATGAACACTAGTTGCATCACAAGCAGCTGATAGAGCCGAATGGTTATCAGAATTGGATTACATAACAAATTATGTTGACAATGAACTCATTCCATTTGAACATATGAATTGGGCTCGTAGTAACAATTAAAGAAAAAGCTATCAACACAACATGAACTATAAAAAACACAAAAACGTCATAATCAACATAATTTTGATTAAAACGAATACAATTACCAATACAAACGTTTTGATTATTGTCTTCACTTCCGGAACTCGAAGTCTAATTGTCATCGTAAACCAATTTAACATTCTCATTGTTGTCGAGTTGTTTTTCAATGGTTTATCCATATTAGCTTGAACGATATCGAAAACTTAACTATCGGGTTTCTTTTAACAATAACAAATTCAAGAACATTATAGATAGATAAATCAATATTATAGAAAAACAAGGTCAATAGTAAATCAACAATGATTATGAGATTTTCTGATTTTGTAACTCTCAATTAATGATATGGAAGTTACATACAAACTAAAATTATATATTTACCCTTGTTATTAAATTATGAGATGAATATGAACCTAGATAAAAGATGGATTTTTATTAGTTGAGATTTGTTAACAAAGTTAACACAATAATCTTGATTAACATTTGAATCAAACTCTATATATGTATATATATATACACATATATACATATATCTATTTAAAAAATTAGAATATTAAACTAATTAAAGTAAATTGCATACTCAACACAATTTACTAATTTACCCTTCTACTTATTTTAAGAAATCATAATAATTATCCTGAGTGATTGGTTCATATTGGATTTTACGGTTATCGCAAACTAAACAGTTCTCATTCTATTAGGTCCTATACATACATACATATATATACATACATACATACATACATATATATATATACATACAAACATACATATCTATAAATATATATACATACGAACATATATATAAATATATATGGTTACGTTCTGGTGAGAATGGAAGTTTTGTTGAGATGTGTAAGAAGAGATCTTCACACTTGGATGCACATTAGGAGGAGATGCACCGTATCAATCCGTGTATCAATCGCAATTCATAGGTCGGAATAAGACTAAAAGTGATCAAGAGTTCACATCTCTTCTTACGCTTCTCACCGTAACTTCCCTTTTCGCCTATACAAATTAGCGACGGATTAGCGAGGGAAAATTCGTCGCTGAAAGTCCTTGAAAATTCCCTCGCAAATCCGTCGCTGAAAGTTCCGTCGCAGATCCGTCGCTGAAAGATCCCTCGCTGAAAGATCCGTTGCTGAAAGATCCCTCGCAGATCCCTCGCTGAAAGTTCCGTCGCAGATCCGTCGCTGAAAGATACCTCGCAGATCCGTCGATGATCCATCGCTGAAAGTATCCGTCGTTGATCCGTCGCTGAAAGTATCCCTTGCAAATCCGTCGCTGATATCCGTCCCTGATAGCATTACCTACGACTATTTGACAAACGGAGTATCAGCGACGGATTGCCCTTTCAGCGACGGATTTACGAGGGATTTTTCCCTCGCTGATACTCTGCATTTTTGTAGTGTAATTTCTAACTAAAAACATGAAGAAAAAAATTGTTCCTAACTTCTAATACTGATTTGAAACAATGAAAATCTAATATATATAAATTCCATTTGCAGATCAAAACTAAAAGCAAACAGGCCACGAACACGTACTTTAACTTATTATCACTAAAACACTTGACATATATTGTAGTTTATAAGCGAAACATCCAAATGCATTGAATAATATCTCCCCTCAAGCTAGATCACTACAGAACCAAAATAAAATTTCACCTATTATATATATATAGAGAATAACGATTAAATGCAACTCATCCAATTTATATAAATCGTGTGTAAACCATCATCATTCGTCGATTTCATTGTTTAATCTTATAAATTTTTTCATGAAATTGTTTAATCTTGTGAAATTGTTTCATATAATACTTTTTTTGATGAAGTTGTTTCATATATGGTTATGAAATTGTTTCGTAACCACAAGGGTGGTGCCTGATTGGTTTGAGCTTGGCTCCAAAGGTCAAAAGTGTCCAGGTTCAAATCCAATAAGAAACAAAAATCCCCTTATGGCCACAGAGGTTCAAATGCGGTGACTCTGGGCTACCTGCAATGCAAAGCAGTGGTCGTCCTGAGATTAGTCAGTTCACATAGCGGGTTGAACATCGAAGTTAATCAAAAAAAAATTGTTTCATATAATACTTAATGAAATTTTGATGAAAATGTTTCGTGTATTTCTCTAAAATTAAAATAATGAAGATGATAATATCCATGATTAGCACCCTGCACAATAAAAATGATTAATCAACCTCTTATAATTACAAAAAAATGAACAAAATGAAAAATTATGATTGGTTGAATGAGGTTTGTACGTTTCTACAAATTAGATGGTTTATATTTTATCGCTCATCTGTGTATATATATATATATATATATATATACATATATATGTATGTATGTATATACATATATCTATTTCAAAAGTTAGAATATTAAACTAATTAAAGTAAATTGAATATTCAACACAATTTTTTAATTTACCCTTCTACTTATTTTAAGAAATCATGATAAGTATCCTGAGTGATCGGTTCATATTGGATTTCATGGTTACCGCAAACTAAACGATTCTCATTTGATTAGGTTCCTATACATATATATATATATATATATATATATACAAACATACATATATATATATATTTATATTTATATATATATATATATTTATATATATATATATATATTTATATATATATATATACACACACATATATACGTATATAGGGTTAGGTTTCTGGTGAGAATAAAAGTTTTGTTGAGAGGTGTAAGAAGAGATCTTCACACTTGTATGCGCATTAGGAGGAGATGCACCGTATTAATCCGTGTATCAATCGCAATTCGTAGATGGGAATGAGACTAAAGTGATCAAGAGTTTAGATCTCTTCTTATGCTTTTCACCGTAAATTCCCTTTTTCGCATATATATATATATATATATATATAGAGAGAGAGAGAGAGAGAGGGGGTCAAACCAGAAATGATCAAAGTAAGAGAACAAGAAAAACGGTCAAATTACATGTGATTTTACATGCGATTACGTCACACGGTCAGACAATGGAGAGCAAGCGACGTAGTGTGCAACACCTCAGGTCAAAATCACATGTGATTTACACGTAACATTGTCATAAAATCACATGTGATTCGGCCGTTTTAGTTTCTCTTATTTATCTACGATTCTCGTATGAATACGAGTCGGAGGCCCCAAAAAATAAAGAACTGGAAAACACCACCGTTCATATGTACTCTATGCATATCTAAACAATTATATATGACCGCATTTTTAAAACATATATGCCATTGGTGCAGTTTATAGGAGAGGTGCCGGCTAATTAAGTAATCAATGATAAATAGATAATAGATCTATACAGTTGGCAGGAAGCTAGCTTTGGAAGCCGCCACAAGTTTGAATCCGATTCCAATGGTAACGTGGATTTATATTCGATTTCAAGCGACCTAATTTTCATCACAGATCAAATGGAAATCTCACAAGATAGTCGCATCAAACAACTAAAGGTTTTTGACGACACAAAACTGGGTGTCAAAGGACTGGTTGATGCTGCAGCTGGTGGGTCTGTTGTTATTCCCGAAATATTTATCCGACCACCCGATGAACTCGCCGAAGATCTGGAACTTGCCCGAACAAGTTTACAAGTTCCAGTCATAGATCTCATGGGAGTTGACGATAAGGGAAGCTCGCCAAGAGAAAGAATTGTTCAAGAAGTTAAGCAGGCTTCAGAAGAATGGGGGTTTTTCCATGTGGTTAATCATGGGATACCCATAAAAGTGCTCAAAGAAATGCTAACTGGGGTGTCTGAGTTCAATGAGCAGGATCTCCAGGTTAAAAAACAGTATTATTCGAGGGATCCAGAGAAGTTGGTGAGGTTCAACTCCAACTACGATCTGTACATGTCAAGATCAGCTAATTGGAGGGATTCGCTGTTTATCGACATGCTGAATTCTTATCATGTTGATCCTCAAGATCTGCCATCTGTTTGTAGGTACAATCTTTCAACTAGTTTTTGGAGTTCTATTCCATACTAATTAAAATGGCCAATTGGCCAATGTATTGGCTACTTCGCTTACAAGTATCTGTATGTGCAGAGATCCTACTGTCGACTACCTAAATCATCTGGAGAAGCTGGTACATACCCTTTTTGAGTTATTGTCGGAAGCTTTGGGGCTGGAAACGAACCACTTGAACCAAATGGAATGTGGGAAAGGTCGAAGTCTGGCTTGCCACTACTATCCTGCATGCCCTATGCCTGACCAGACCCTAGGAGTCAGCAAGCACACGGATGCTTCTTTCATCACTGTACTTCTACAAGATGAGATTGGAGGACTACAAGTTCTGCATGAAAACCAGTGGGCCGATGTCGAACCTATTTCTGGTTCTCTCATTGTGAATATTGGAGATCTACTTCAGGTTTTTTTCTTGTAATCAAAACAAAAGGATATACACATACATACAGGCATATATAGATACAGAGATTCTAATGGATATGATGCATATATGAAGTTGTGTTGATGTCATGCAGATCTTATCAAATGACAAGTTCAAAAGTGTGATCCATCGTGCGATTGGGAATGTAAGTCGAACAAGAACATCGGTTGCATGTTTTCTTGATGGTGTGGCGACACCTCCGAAAGTTTATGGACCGATCATGGAGCTTATAACGAAAGAAAGTCCTCAGATGTATACCGAATTCACAGTAAGAGACTACATTATTAAGTTCTTCTCCAGGGGACTTGACGAGAAGTCCGGCCTAAACCATGTTCGGATTTAACACAAACATTTTGTCAATGCAAGAATCATACTGATCCCCGAAATCTGAATGCGATGTCGAATGGGTTTTATGTTTAATTTTTTGTAACCTTATTTAATTTGGGTTTTCTATACAAAGAAGACATCGATCATGTACCAGTATTTTATACGTGCCTGTTTTTCGACAAACTTACACTTTAAGATTGAGGATATTTGAAAACACATTGCGTTATCTTATAATAACAATCGAAACATGATACAGAGAGGTTCCGAGAGTTAATGAGGTTTTCGGTAGATTGTTGGAAAATAAGAAAAAGAGCATGAAAGAAGGTCGGAAGTTGACATCGAAAACGGGAAAACAACTTTCGCTTACGCGACTTATCCTGCTACTTGGGTCATATGCACGGTCACGAGCGCATCCAGACCGGCCCCGAACCCGAACGGATTGCATTTATTAGCTTATTTGATTATTTTGTTTCTTAATTAGTTTCGGATAATTATTTAGTTGAATTTTTTTAAGAGATGCTCAAGTATAAAGTCTTATTTCAGTTCTGATTTATAAGAAGTGGTATTAAAGTCTGAAATCTGAACAATAAGACTGTTTGTTCTTTAGACAGATAAACGTCTGAATATGTTTAAATTGTCTATTTTACCCATTACAAAATAATAGTGTTGGTTATAGATAAAATTTTGACAAATATATTCATCATCATTACGAAGTTTACATCTTAATTATATAATTAGCTTTCATTCGAACGAAAATATGTCATTAACGGGATTTAACAAATTTAAATACATCAATTGAGAGAGGTGAGAATCTATTTGGTAAGAATCGATTGAGAGAATTAATTGATTGATTAAGGTTAATCGATTGAGAATCGTCATTATTGAGGGTTTGAAAAACAATAAGAGGCAAATAAGAGGTTGGTCTACCTCTTACCAGTTAAGAGGACAATAAGAAATAAGTACCTCTGAAAAACTGGAAAAAAACAAACAATCTGAATGCCCTCTTCTCTTAACAAATCAGAAATAAGAGGTTGTAAGAGCTTTTTATAAAAAAACAAACAAGGCGTTAGTTTTAAGTTGTTATTTGAACATGGTTATGAGCTATACTTATCTTTCATCTTGACATCCTCGAATATAATATTTAGACCAACTGATGTCTAGGCCGAATAATTAGCAGCGATGGATGGTTTCTAAAAAAGTGTTTAAAATGATAATTTTAGTACAATCTAAAATTTGCATTATATATTTGGGAAAATTGTATCAAAATGAAACCAATTTTTATCTGATTCTTATTTTAAGGAACCAATTTTCAAAATTATCATTTAGGAGTCTCTATCAAACTTTTTGTTTATTTAAGGGTCTGGTTGACCTGTTGACCTGTTAATGCTGACATCATCTATATCTTTTGCCAACTAAGATATTCCACGTCATATTAATTTTTTATTTTAAAACTAATATTCCATGTCATATTTAAAATTGTAAAATAGTTATAGAAAAATAACTAAAATTTGTTTTTTTTTTTTTAAAATTATTGTAATAAAATCTATTTTTCATTCCAAATCTCGTTTTTTTAATAAAAATTCAGATATCAAATTGAAGATTTTTTCAAAAAAAAATCCAAATTACCAAAATAAAAATTGTTTTTTACTAATGCAATAAAAAAATTAATTTAATAGAAAAAATTAATTGATGCAATAAAAAATAAATATCAAATTCAAGATTTTTATATCCAACCAATCCGTATCAATTTTAAAGTTTAAATCAAATTTTGCAAATCAAACCAAAATAAAAGTTTGCATGTTCACAATGTTCAAATCATCATGATTAGAATAAAGTCGATAACAAGACATTGTTACAAAAAAAGATGGTTGAAAATCTTCAATCTTCGACTGCTTGAATCATCCTTATCAAAGTTAACCATCAACCGTAAATTATGAAACTGATCGAACTTCATCAGGTAATGTGCATCACCTATATCAACTTGCCCTATGTAAACATATGCAAGTTAATGCAAATATGTAAGTTATATGCAAACAAAGTGTGATTATACATATTGAAAATACCTTCCCCAATAGTAATTGATATACAACTTGTAAACAACCATGAAATATAATGGTCAATAAATTGACTCTTTTGGTTGCATAATGTTTGAAGTGGTTGTTTTGGTTGTAATGACCAAGTGTCACACCCCAAAAATCTAAGGTTGTAACTACCAACAATAACGACAAAAACGTTAAAAAGTCTTTAAATCCAACCAAACAATTCAACAACAGAAGTGTTAAGATAAAGGTTTAAACCACCTTAAAACAAGAGTATTAAATTGCAAACTTAAAATCTTAAAAGTTACGGAGTCGCCACAGATGTTCCTAGACTTTCTACTTCCCCTTTGAGCTACTCGCTAAAATGCCCCCTAAGAGATGCATGTTATAAAGTTATTTTTCACCTAGTAAGTTCACTGTTTTTCTTTACATCCTCAACATAAATAATCCATAGAAGAAAACATGCTTAATCATAGTGACAATTACAAAACGTAGCTTTTAACTTGCACCTTTAAATAAATCTTTCATATAAAGCATGTTATAAAATACGATAAAACATATTTTTGAACAATAAACTTTGCAATGTATAATATAATATACCATGCATACATCTCCTTTTTTATAAATCAAATGAATTCACCTGGGTCTGGATTATGTTCGCTCTCTTTACTTCTTCTAATTCACACCTACACAATCATAAAGACTACTGAGGATTTTGCCATCGAACTACTTTGAGTCAACGCGACTTTTCTAATACGACCTTTTTACTCGATTGGCCACTTTTGAGTCTACTCAATCTTGAGTCCCTCTATACGAGTCTTTCAATTCAGGTACAAAAATTTAACTTGTTAATAAATAAAATTAACTTGAGTAATTTTACAACTCTAATGCCATAAAAGAGTATTTTAAAAATTTACTGAGACTTTTTAACTAAAAACAAATGCTTAAACCCAAAATTGTATAAGTAGACATGTGATTGACGTTCCTCTTCAACTCAAGAATGGTTAATCTATACTATATTATAAAGCATTTGATAAAAATTCTTAAAAATCATTTTTTTATGTATGAAGTATTGTTTATTGATGCATATTACTTAAAATTCAAGATTACAATTAAATTGTGCATAAATACAACTTATTAAAACTCTATGTTTGAATTCATGTAACTAACTGTGGATAAACATAATCAAATAGAGGATAAACATCTTATTTTAAAATATGAAAAATCTAAAATATAATTAGGATAATTATTGAGTTTTAACAGAATACTTAATTATTATTTTTATAAAAAAATATATATTATTAAACTTAAATTAACTTACTTCGATAAAATAAATTACAATAAAAAAATTGAATTAAAAAAAATACACAAATAAAAATTTTTAAATAGTTAATTTGATACTAATATTAATATAGTTTTTGCAAATTTTATGTGATATTTTCAATTTTATATTTTATTCAAAAATAAAAACATTATCGTTCTCAAAACCACATAAAATCGTATTATATTGATACAGATAAAAAATAAAACAAAACATTGAAATCAAAATGTATCTCGATCCATTGCACGAATACCCTTCTAATATAAATTAATGCGATCACTCCACCACAAATTAGTGGCCCACGTCAGTAGCCTAAGTAAACTCCATGGCCCTTTTAAATTTCTTTCTTTTTATAGAAAAAATAATTTAAACAAGGCTGCCATTTTTATATTCTTATGTTTTAATCCAAGAAGCATAAGTTGGGCTTGTTAAAGTGGCCTAATCAAAATGTTTATGAAGCTGCTAACTGTTGGAACAAAGTGTGGCCTAGCCCAAGATCTCCATCTGGAATGGGTGGTCCGGCCACGAGGTCAATTCTGAATAAGGTCAATCTTGCATCTCAGATGGAGCTAGACGGTATGTTGACCTTGTGATAGGCGCTGCTCCAGGCATGAGTTCAATTCTTAACTCCACCTGGCAGTCGAGTGGTATTTCTGGTAAGTCTTCTAGGAAGACATCCAATAACCCCCTTACTATCGGCACATCATCAAATTACCTTCTCTTGCTTGACATCTATCGCGTATTCTAGGAACTCCATACACACCTTTCTTAAGCATTTTCTTGCCTTAAGCATGGATATAATGCCTATTTTGTCCCTTTTTCTATTTCCGTAAATATGAATTATATCACTACTGGGGGTTTGAACTTTAATCATTTTCTTATTGCAAACAATCTGAGGTTGGTTCTCTCACAACCAATCCATCCCTAAAATAACGTCAAACTCCCATAAAACCATTGGCATCAGGCTAACTTGTAGCTCCTTACCGTCTCTATTAATAGTGCATTTCTAAAAAAAATCATCTATCTTTACATTCCCTCCACCCGCTATCTCTACTAAAAAGGCATTTCTTATATTCTTAGTTTTCTTATCAAGAAAGTTGCGAAATGCAACAGAAACAAAACTTTTATTCGCACCCGAATCGAAAAAGAACATTAGAAAATACGCTATTAACAAGGAACGTACTAGTCTACCAGATACAACATCCGGAATTTCTCGTGCCTCACCAACAGTCATCGTGTAAGCTCTCCCTTTTGTATTGGATATCTCGGTCTTGTTTCGCCCACGTTTGCAGTGTCATTTTTTGTTAAATTGGCTTTCTTGCAGTTGTAGGCAATTAAGCCTCAAGTGCTCCACCATCCCACACTTATAGCACTTCTTGCTCTCGCTACATTTTTTCAAAGTATGCCCTTCTTTTCCACACTTAAAACAAGCTGTACTGCCTACCTTGCATTCACCAAGGTGTGTTCGGTTACATTTCTTACATCTTGGATACTTAGTGAGTTCTTTCTTCCCTTTAAGGTTAGATCCGATTTTGTTGTTCTTTGACCCCTTACTAAAGTTTTTTCAACTCTGCTTCTGATGGCCCAATTCTTCTTCTTGTTGTTTCTTTTCTTTCTCCCTCGTACCTACAGCATCCACAGCTTCGTGGAATATCC